TAGCCGCGTGTTAAATTTCCAAATGCCTCGGCCTCGGGGATTTGAATTCCCTAATTGTACGTTAATTGACACTTGGTAGTGGTCTGAGTACGGGAAAATGTCGCTTTTGTGAGCACGCACTACTGATCTCCACGCGCGAGGAGTAAAGAACCGATCTAACCGACAACCGACCGAATGTGGGCCGTTAAACCAGGTAAATAAACGACTAGTGGGGTTTTTGGCGCGAGAGACATCCTCGAGGGCAAGTTGGTCCGTAAATGCATGCAAATCTGGAATTCCCTTATCCCCCAAGCTGTCATCGCCTCCCCATTTATCCAACCGGATATCTGGAACACAATTGAAATCGCCTGCGATAATTATTTTCGTATTGTGCATGACGTAACGCCACAAATTCGCGAAGAACGTGGCGCGTTCAGAAGGTTGATTTGGAGCGTAATTTTGGAGCGTAACTGCAGACAGAACTGTTTTGGCCTTCTGGGCCTCATCAGTGCAGTGCTGATGCTAGGTTGGAGGAGAACCGAGACGGTCACCCCAAACGACCCAACCTTTGTGGTATCGTCTAAGCCGAGTGCTCAAACTAGAGTAAACTAGCGAGTATGCGCAATTGCAGCAGCAATGACTCATCCTAGATAGAGTGCTCAATTTGGACATGAAAGCAAAGCTTTGTATGCCAAAGAGCTATATCTAACTGCAGACAGAACTGTTTCGGCCTTCTGGGCCTGATCAGTGCAGTGCTGATGCTAGGATGGGGGAGAACTGACACGGTCACCCCAAACGATGCACTAATATATACATATATATATATTAGTTAGAGCAATAATAAAAGTACATCTAAATATATATATATATATATATATATATATATATAACAGCTGCACGGGTCTAAACGAGATAGCCTATGTTGCATTGCGACGACAATTTCAAATCATTAACCGACTGAATAGCCGACTGGCAGATAGATCTGGTAGACTGACTCAGCGATTGACCTACTTGACTGTTTCACTGATATATTGATTGACTGACTGATCCATTGATTTATTGATTTGTTTCGTTTAGGAAAAGAGGTGTCGTATTCTGAAATTTTACAGAAATCTTACCCTTACAATGCGTAAGGCCCAGAAGGTAGAGTTCTTTAACAGTGCTATCGTTTCTGAAGCATTGAAGGTGTGAAAACTGAACGGAATTATGTTGTAGCCAATGGGAAACAATACATTTGACACAAAACAGAGATACATTTCTTTAGGATTGTTTTAGTAATGGGGCTATGCGCTGGCAAGTTCACCCAATATAACGAAGGCCGCAAGACTTTAGAGAACTCAAACATAACAAAAACAACAAGTGTGCATGTTTCACCAGAATCTTGAGCGAATCCCAAACGGAATGCAAGTGTAATCACTTAACACACTTTGCTGTTCTGATGGATTTTACCAACGATGAAGAGGTAAGCGTTGCACGGAATACAAAAGCAACACCTAAATTCATAGTTTTATTTGGTGTATAAGTTCG